TCTCCGACTCAGATATATATATGATTATATAAATTTAAATTACAAAATAATGTGAATTTCTTTATGTATTAAAACTTTAACAAATTCCTTAAATAAGAATAGAAAGAAAAGAAAAAAAGAAGACAATTTGATTTACTTAAGAATGGAATATGATATACAATAATTATTTTATCATAAATATCAATAATGTTTAAATGCCAATGCTTATCTCAAAAATTATATTTTATAAAGAAAAATTGCGCAAATAAAACCACGAACTACCGCAGAAATAAATTTTACATATGACAGTCGTCAAAATACAAAATTCTAAAGTCAAAAATTCTAATGCAAATTCGATATTGGCGATTTCGTTTGGCACAAAGAGACCCATGTTTGTACGCAATTCGACTACCGTGTGTAAACTATCTTCCAACCGGTCAACAACTGGTCAACTCGATTATAAACAAACGGTTATAACAAACAAATATATTTATAGCAAAACGATCGGCCACCGCCGATCGGCCATCAGCACTGTATCTTTGTCAAACCGGGCGACATTTTCGGGCCATCCGGTATATCGGGTAAGCTCCGCGGACGGGGACCCGTCGTTACCGAGATGCAAACGTGCTATTAAAAGACGAACCACCGGCTTTCCACATTGGCCGCGAAGTGTTCGCGCGCCTCGTCTGAAAATAAAGTGCGTTCTCGCCCCGAGTCGCGAGACGCGTCCGTCGTAATAACTTATAAACGACCAAGGCGTAGACAAAGACGAATACTCGAGCGATGATCGAGCGATAACGCTGTTATGACAAGAAATCTTGCTACTTATGAATGAATCACGTGAGTAAAAATAGTATACATAATATTTTTTTATGGTAGTTAAAATTAAATAGACAGAAAATTAAAATAACGATATGAAATTAAACGATATGAAATTAGAATATCTATTCATTTATATGTAGATAGAGAAAGATGGTAGGTATATAGATAGATATTTGTAATAAATAAATATGATACTTTATGTGTGTGCAGTTGTACGTGTTCATTATTGGTACTGGGTTTGTTATAGGTAACATATATTTTTTATACGGTAATTAAAACATCTAGTAGTATTGTTGATATGATACAACGTTCACAAGAGATGAGAATCGCGTTGCCATGAAGAAGAGTTTTAATACTCGAGCGTTTTAAGCGCACTTGCAGCTATTTCTGAATTAATCGATATACAGAGTGTCCCAGAAACGGCGAGAATTTCTGCCGAGAAAAGAGAACTTGCTATTTACGAATCAATCAAGTGCAATAAAGCTTAACTGACCTGAACTCTCTAATTGTCTCTGAATTAATCGATATGTAAGGTATGCCACAGAAGATCAGAATTTTCACTATTAGAACGAATTCTACCTTGTGCGGTTTGATTTAAGAATACGGATAAAAATTATTAAATATTATTTTATTTACTAATGATTAAAATGTATTATATAAAAAAATATTTTGATATACTTATGATGACATATTCTTTAACATAGTATATTTCTTTAACATCTTTAACATAGTATTTTATTATAAGCCTAAATATAATTTAATTGGATATGATATGTCTTTCCTTTCATCATAATATCTTTTTATAAAATAAATGAAATAGTTTTTATGGATAAACATAACATAATTGTCACAATCACAAAAGTATAATTCTGTACTTATCCTTTGTTTAAACTCATTCGTTCTATATATATTAATTAGTTACATAAAGATGCTGTAAAGTTTAGAGATGGAAGAGTAGATTAATTCGAAATAGACTGGCATCTGTCTACTTAACTACTAACAAGTGGATTTAATATCAAGTCGAAGTAATCCAAAGCTGTACATGAACGCGCATCTGTACTTCCATTTACATACATTATCTCAGCATTTATATAAACAGCGAGGAAAAAAGAGATTCGCGTCCTCCAAACCAATAATAGTAATATGTCAATTTCAAAGCAGTAATAACGATTTGTTCTTTGCGATCTCGTGATGTCAAAGATAATTGAAAACAATCAAAACTTTTGAATAGAAACTTAGAGGAAAATAATTTTAAATAAGAATAGTTTATTTTTTGTTAAACTTGAAACACGTAAATACTTATCATTTGTTTATAACTTGATATAACATTAATTATCATTATATTAATTAATTAAATAATAAGAAAAATATTATCGTGTAAATAATCATGTCAATTAATTTCATTTGTTACAAAATTAGAGCTGTAAAATTAAATAATTAATTATGCTATTTCTCGCAAATTTTCTTTAAAAATATCAAAATGTTAAATCACACAATTATTCATCAAAATATGTCAATGTTAAAACTTGTTTAAACATTTTTATTAAGTTTTGTTTCTTAACACAGAAAAGTAACTCTTATATAATAATATTAATCTAATTTTATATTGGCAGTTATCATATTATATGGATCAAGTAAAAATCGAGTGGAACATATAAATCATCACTGGCTACTCTAATTTCATCTGCCAGTTGCCTAACTTCAAAGTGCTATAAGCTTTGCCACGTAAAGTTCCTGATTAATCGGGTAATGCGGTCTGCCATGGAAAGACGATTTCAACATCAATGTCGGCGATCTATCATGCTCTAATTGCAAGTTCAGGGAGTTCAGCAAATGTGGATCCCAACTAATATCATAGTTTGAGAAAAAGATTGCAATTTTCATCAATTGCTGTCGTAAAGTTCATTCGAAATTTAATCATTGTATTTTTCTAAAAAAAACTCTAATGCACTCTGTGATCTATAAAAAAAATGTACTTAAACTTTATAAAAAAAGATAATCTTTGCCTATCTGTAAATCTATTTAAAAAAGTATAAAACTGTTTGGATCTATATAAAAAAATAATAATTTAAAAGTTTCTAATTCGAGGATAAATAATTTCTTTAAAAAGAAAAACTTCTTCTAATTGAATGGTACGATAAAAGCTTTATTGGAATACTATCACAAAGTCGTAATAAAAGACAAAGGCACTTTTGAAAACAGATTTACAATAAGATATTTTTATTTCCAATATTATATTCTTGATACAATATAAATACCTTAAAATATTTCAAAATATTAATGTAATAAATATATAGAAATTGTGAAAAGAAGCTATTCCTTTAATAAATAATGCATATGTTTAAAACATTTTATATATAACAAATTAATATTAATTTGATTAAACTTTTTATTGTAAACGTGTAAACATACTAATCCTGATTATTTTAAAATTCTGAAAATGTAATTAAATATGAATATGATACTATTTTAAATTTCTTTAAATATACTTATATTAAATATGCTTTAAACTTAGGAATTTGTTTTCATCAAAATCCAGTTTAAATTAAGATTCTAAATTTATTAGATTATTTGAAGATATCATAATAAATTCAAAAATATACAAAATTACAAACAATAAAAATAATCTTTCTAACAAATGTAGAAAAATAATTGTTGTTTAATATAAAATCTCTTGTAAAAGATAGAGCACTTTTAATTTTCACTACCCTGCGTTGTATTGACAATGCTATATCAACATCAACATCGATCTGTGATGTCGTTAAAAGATCCATCAACCGTGTTGCTTGATTGACAGTAACACGATGATCTTATCAGCTTCGATTTCGTATCAAACTCACTGCAAACGTGAGACTAGATCCTACATATATCAGTTACGCCATTGTGCGATCAACGTTTTAACGACGATGTAATAACCCACCCATTCTACCAGTTTGATCGCCAAAGAGCAGGCCAGTAATGGATAACAGAATGCGAGCAAACTAGAGTTACGTGCTCCAGAATTCAAATAGTTTCGTGAGCTCCCATTTCAATTCGTCATCGATTAAGTTATCCAATTATATAATTGTTCCCGTAAATCGATACACAATGTTTCACGAAAGAGAGATACATATGTGTTTGGATTTTATTATGACACCAAATAAGCATAAAATCATGGATAAATTTTTTTATCGCGATGTAAGCTTCAATAAATAAGTATTTGTAAATTACAAAAATAATACTTTATACTTGAGACCATTTAATCTATTTATGCGAGATGGATTTTATACTAATTGTATTTTGTAAATATATATTTTTTATATCTCTAGAAAGGCCAGTCAGCAATCTTTCACATTAAGTATAGAAAAATTGTATCTCCGCCACTGATCAAAATCGCATGACTCTCTCAAATTTTTTTGCTGCGCAGTAAGTTATTTAAAGACAGGTGCATCGGACTACGTTTTCACTACGTTATTTCCGGATGCGGAGAATCGCTGCCGTCGCCGTCGTCGTTAAATTAAAATCGCGCACCAGATGCGCATCGCGATGCCAAATGCCGGGACGGAGTCAACGGCGAAGAATTTAAGTGATACGCGTGAAGCCACAATAGCACACTTCATTCGTCATCAGTGAAACAGCCGCGCTATTATGAATGAGGATTATACGGACGATGCACTTCTCCGTGAATGCGTGAATTTCCTATGTTCACAACGTAAATAAAATGAGCGAGATATTTCTTGAAACAAATGTGACATCTATTCATCAACTGGTAATGCTAATTTAACTTGTGCTTAAAATTTGAATAGATATTTTTCGATATAAATGATTTCTGTTTTGATTGTATCAGTTAGATATTAATTTAGATATAGATGAAGAAAAAAGCGATAATTTGTTGCGATATTTGTAGTTGTGATAATTTTAATTCTAGGAATGATAAACACACGATGCTTAAATATATGTTTAATTTATAATAATATAATTTATAATTTATAATAATACGCGGGATTATGCATAAATACACTTTAGAGTTAAAATATTCTCTGTTCATTATACACACATTGTTTGTATCTATATAATTAAATAATTTTCACAGTTTTCACTCCTTTGTATCAATAAAATAATATGACAAATAATTAATGTTTAATGAATAATCATTGCATATATTAAGTTTTTTATGCATCTTTATCAACTAGATATTTAATAAAATAAATAACATGTAAAGGATTAAATTATGCACTCACTGTATAATTGATCCGCTATTGCTCGATTTTTCGAAAATTTCCTCTCCCTCTTAAATTTCTTTGATTTCTCATTACATATTTCGCGAATACGATTAATTAATTCTGTATTTATTAATACACTAGAACGTGATTATCACACACGTGATATTTTACAAAACATTCCCGTACGACAATTGTTAAATTTTCATGAAAAATAACCGCACAATAAAAAATAAATCATTTTTCATTACAAAGAGTAGAAATTCATTAATTGTGCAGATTAATAGACGTTATTCGATCTACGAAAAAAATGATAGCATTGTTCGTAGTACTCATCACGAGGAATGACAACGCGACGACGCACAGAGCGATTCATTCTGCTATCTCATAGTCTAGCACTAGAGGCTTTGTGTATGAATGATAACACTGCGATCTTGTATAAACAATAGCGTACTATACGCTACAATACGATCACCAAGGCCGAGTGCCAGGCGTGCGTTTCTATCTCGTTATTATCAAACACTCTTTTTTTTCATATTAGTTTATATTTTAAATTAATTGCTCATATAAATCGTAAATATGACTATACACTTGCACATTTAAAAATTAGAAAGAATAAAATTATTTTTATTATGTCGAATTATTTTTAATCTGTCGAAAAATTTTAAGCGCGATAAAGTTGCTCGTTTACAATAACAAATAGTTCGCAATATTTGTTGCGAAGAATGATAACGTGACGATATGCAGAACGATTCGCTCTGTTACCTTTCTATTCAAAATTCAGTACACAAATAATAACATGGTGACATTGTATAAACAATAACGCGCAATACGCCAGAAGGAACAAACACCAAAGCCGCGAAATATTCAACGAATTTTGAAATAAAAAGCTGAATATTCTATTCCTTGCTTTGTAAATAATGCTTTTTAAATAAATTTAAATAAAAAAATTATTATTGCATATTTTACACTTTGCTTTGCAAACTTATTAACATACAGTTTAAAATAACAATTAATTTCACCCGATGACAATCAATTAAAAAAAATATTTTTAAATAAAATTGTTATTTGAATCTGAATTTTGATGAAAAAATTTACTTCAATTTGATTTAAAAATATAACAAACATATATATTACTTATAAAAAATTTGAAATATTCAACGAGAATTATTTAATATTATTTTTTTAATATCAAAATAAATAACTATTATTATTAATTTTATTTAGAAAAATTATTAAAATTGTTATTTAATGTTTAAGTAATCGTTTACTTCTCAATTCAAATGCATTAAAGTATTGTAAGAGATTTGAAAACAACATTGCTCATATGTTGATTTCTCAAAAATCAATTGCTGAACCGCGAGAAATAAATTCTAGACTATTTCTTGAAGGCCATCTGATTCATCGATTAAAACGCGATTGCGAATATGACGTAACGAATACCAAATTGACTCTCAAAATTTATTTATAAAATCGTATTGTGCCTCAAAATTGTTTTCTGCGAAGTCATTTAATAAAAACACGACAAATACAAGTCCAAAATTTCTATACGACTAGTGAGAACGTCTATATTAAATATAGCATAGTTATCACATTTCATAATTATGCGAGTGCTAAAACTGTAACACCGTTTGATAACAATCATATTTAAACGTTACAGTCATATAGTGTCAGTATAATACTTTTAACATCTGTGAAGCATCTATAATTAAAATTCTGGTACACCACATACTTTATCTTTTATAACATGATTTGAGTACCAATGCCTATCGCGCTACTCACGCATCGTATAAAGAAACTTTTACGGCTCCTACAATTTATTAGTAGCGAGCGTTGATGGTGTAAGTCGTAAAAGCCGTAGGAGAGAAGCAGAACTTTTACATTTTATCTGCGGTAACTTCATCGTCTAAAACCCTTTCCGCGGATATTTTAACTCCTCCGGCCAGTTCGAAAATTCATGCATTCCGACTTTCTAGTATGATCATGATGAAGTCCAGAACTCACATTTTAGCTTGTTAATGATACGGTTAAGACAAATACAAAAAGACATAAATCGTCTGAAGATAATAAGAGAAGTTAATTAAAATTTCAAAAAAAAAGAATAGGTTAAAAAAATAGGATGTTAAAAAATATGGAGTAATTTTAATATCGTCGTCCATAAATTGTGTTAATGTTAGCAAGTTTCAATTTCTTTATCTTTGTGTAACGAAATCTCAACGTTGCTCAACGAAAAAAAATATTTCGTGGATTTGTGCGGCCTCTTGATGGTGGGACGGTTAATGAAGTAATAATTTAACCTTAACTATAATTAATCAAATAACAGAGAAGACTTCGAAAAGACGTTTTATCTCCGAAATGAGCTTTCTCGGAAAGTAAATCCTGAGGGAAATTCTTCTTTGCAGAATAACTTTGAAACAACCTTGAAAGCTCGCACTTTCTATCAAGAGAGAAATATCAGACTTTCTTAAATTGTGTGGACAACATCGATGTGTATTAAATTATAACTTTTCGCTAATATCAAATATATTTAATAGAGACACATACAATGCACCCGCTTTTTCTTTGTTAACGAGAAAGAAATGTTCAATTTTTTTGAAAAAAAGTATTTCACAATAATTAAAATAAAAAATATTCCAAGTAATTACATCCTCATAAAAGAATTGTAATGGAAGAGGAAAAAAATAATTGTGTAAAAAAATAAAAAAGAGAAACGGAGAATGATACATTTATCGCGGCAAAAGAAAGCAGCAGCAAAAGGAATTATTTTTCGTATATAA